GATAAAGCCACTGTCACTGTCACCAAAACGATGGTCATTAAAAGACCCTCATTTCATCTGCTGCTATCTCACACTTCATGTCGTTTGTGTGATTTGTGGTTGTTGGCATGGAGTGATCTGATGGCCTGCCAGTGAGGGGGGGAGGGGGGCGGTAAGCGGTGCCCTGTGCGGCAGGCTTTGTGTGAGGGATTGGCAGGGGGGGGGGCTGCAGAGACGAGGTCATATGTGCCGGCACCCCCCAGTAGGTGTCAGCCTGCCAAGTGATGCAGAAGGTGCTGTGAATGAAGCTCTTTGCCATTCATCCACAACTAAAGCTGCGTCTCCAGCAGAACATACACTGCCTTCCCGAAACCCTCCCATTCAAGGAGCTGTCATAATAAAGCAGAAATGCCAGCCGCCAGCTTGCATACAATTCACACTTCAAAATGAAGTAAGTTAAAGAACAGAGAGAGAGAGAGAGCGTAAACTGACAGAGAGATCAGAGTGAAATAAGCTAAAGGACAGAGAGAGAGTAAACTGACACAGAGATCAGAGTGAAATAAGATAAAGGACAGAGAGAGAGAGAGTAAACTGACACAGAGATCAGAGTGAAATAAGCTAAAGGACAGAGAGAGAGAGTAAACTGACACAGAGATCAGAGTGAAATAAGCTAAAGGACAGACATAGAGAGAGTAAACTGACACAGAGATCAGAGTGAAATAAACTAAAGGACAGAAAATAAATTGACACAACTAAGTAACACAATGTGTATGTGTGTGTGTGTTTAAGTGTGTCTGTGAGGGTGTGTCTGTATGTTTGTCTGTGTATATGAGTGTGTGTATCTGTATGTGTATCTGTATATGTGGGTGTGCATGTCTGTGTGAGAGTGTGTGTCTGTGTTTGTGAGTGTGTGTGTATGTGTCGGTGTGTGTGTGACTTCAGCCACACTCATCAGTCTCTCCTGACTGTAATTTAGACAAGCCTGAGCTTTTTAATGCACACAGTACAATTCATCACCGAAGCATGTCTGGGCTCCATGATAGTGTCAAAGTAAGTACAGCTACTAACAATACTAACAATCCATCCTAAAAATCAATGCTATGCACAGAAGCCTCTGTGTCTTATCAGAACTCCTCAAGGGAAGAACCTGCTTTATTCCTCTGGCGATAAGGCTGCTTTGTGTTGGCAACAATAAATACATTGGGGTTTAATTAATAAAGAGGAAATAATTATGCTACTAATGTACTCATGCTGCTACTTCCTGAATAATTGATAGCACCAATTTTCTTTGTGATATGGAAAGCTTGGGAGGTCATGGCTAGAACATTTTCAGACACACATTCTCCCGAACAGGCAATGTCGTCCCAGTATCACAACAGACAGGGAGCTGAGTGCTGGAACCTGACGAGAGGGATCATCACAGACAGGAAACTGAGGACTGGAACCTCACAACAGGGGTCATCACTGACTGGAAGCTGTGGACTTGAATCTGACAACAAGGATCATCACAGACAGGAAGCTGAGGACTGGAACCTGACAACAGGGATCATCACAGACTGGAAGCTGTGGACTTGAACCTGACAATAAGGATCATCACAGACAGGAAGCTGAGGACTGGAACCTCACAACAGGGATCATCACAGACAGGAAGCTGTGGACTGGAACCTGATGAGAGGGATCATCACAGACAGGAAGCTGAGGACTGGAACCTCACAACAGGGATCATCACTGACTGGAAGCTGTGGACTTGAACCTGACAACAAGGATCATCACAGACAGGAAGCTGAGGACTGGAACCTCACAACAGGGATCATCACAGACAGGAAGCTGTGGACTGGAACCTGACAACAGGGATCATCACAGACAGCAATGTGACACCAGATGGGATTGTCACAGACTGACTGCTGATGCTGCATTCTATTTATCTCGGAAGCTGAAAGTCGGAGCTGGAAACGACGTCATACCTGAGTTAACCGCATTCCAGTGCAAGAAGTCGGAGAGCCATTTAGCAACGGCAGTTCAAGCCAGGTTCATTATTATCCATTGTTAGCAATACCAGTTGATAACAATGCATTATGCGATATGTGTGCATACAAACACCTTAGCAACATATACACAGAAAGATGTTACTGTGTGTATGACTGATTTAATTAGAGATAAATAACACATAAGTGCTAAAAACACAGTATATAACTACACTTCTGTTGATAATGGGTGCAGCCATCTTGAATTCTGAGGTCGGGGTTGTGGAGGTCCCTTGGACTTTCCGAGTCAGAACTCCAACTTCAGGGGCTGCTCCAGCTGAACATTCTGAGCAGGAACTCAGGCGTTCCCAGTTCAAATGGAAAGCACACATGTGTGTATTGATCTGAAATGGTGATCGTGAATACACACGAAATAGCGAACATTACGGCAGCGTCTGAAATGTCAGACCTGCGAGATCTGACCTTGGGAAACTCAGAAACATAAGCTGACGGGTCCAGAAACTACTCTGAAACCGTCAGTGTCAACTCCAGGAAAGCAGCTCAAAAGCTGATGGACTGACAGCTTATTTAACAAATTGTGAAGAATATCCTGGCATAACACAATTTATGATGCAAAGTAAAATCAAGAGAATCTTTAGACAGTGCAGCAGTCAGAACTGCACATAGCCAGTCACGGCCCCCCCTGTACAGGGAGAGAGCAGGCAGACTGCCCCCTAGTCCTGGCCACTCTGAGACGCTGCTGTGTTCATACACAGTCATGGCCCAGCCCACCCCCGCCCCCCTACCCCCATACAGGGAGAGGGCAGACACAGCACCCCATCAGAGGGTGAAACTTGACACCAGACCTCCCTAAGGGCACTACAGTGAAGCTACACTTCCATCTCCTTTATTTCCCAGAACAAAAAAACTTTCAGAGAGACTGAGTACCTTGAAAACAAAGAGAGAGGCTGCTGGGGCCTGATTGATTAAATAAACAAATCCCATCTCGTTATCCCGGGAAGATGGTGTCTTGCGAGCTCGAGCTGGCTGGATTCCTGCAGCTTGCCCGTCAGCCCTGTGTGACAGGAGATCTGTCTTCATTAAGGCAGACACAGAGCGCCTGACAGCCACAGAAATGGCAGTGTCTTCACGATTAATGAAGATAAACGACCACTTCAGGCTGGAAAAAAGGAACAAAAAAGCAGAAGGTACAACAAATAGAGCTGGAGTGAGAGAGAGAGACAGAGTCGGTGGAAAGCTGGGGTCCGGCATCGTGGAACCAGGGGCTTTAACGTGAAAGGCTGGGGTCCGGCATCGTGGAACCAGGGACTTTAACGTGAAAGGCTGGGGTCCGGCATCGTGGAACCAGGGACTTTAACGTGAAAGGCATTGAGGAACGTGGATCTTAAATGTGAAAAGCTGTAGTCCGGTAGCTTTGGGATTCTGATGATCACCAAGATGACCCCCAATCCCCAAATTCACAGAGTCTCATAGACACCCCCAGCACTGAAGTCAGAGTCCCAGAAATGAATGAGGGGACCAAAATAAGAGAGAGATTGAAAGAGAGAAAGCAGGTGGGGGTAGGGGTACAGCCTGGGCCCCCCACCAATGTGGAGAGCCTCTGCCATTCCTAAGCACACTCCGGCTGATTTACTGACCCCAGAGAACGTGTAGCGAACTGCTGAACACTAACTGCTGAACACTGAGGAGGTGCCATAGCAGAGGCATGAGCAAAAGCATGAACACTAACTGCTGAACACTGAGGAGGTGTCATAGCAGAGGTACGAGCAAACACACGAGCACTAACTGCTGAACACTGAGGAGGTGCCGTAGCAGAGGCATGAACAAAAGCATGTACATAAACTGCTGAACACTGAGGAGGTGTCATAGCAGAGGTACGAGCAAACACACGAGCACTAACTGCTGAACACTGAGGAGGCACTGTAACAGAGGCACAAGCAAACACATGAACACTAACTACTGAACACTGAGGAGGTGCCGTAAGAGAGGCACGAGCAAATGCATGAAAACTAACTGCTGAACACTGAGGAGGTGCTACAGCAAAGGCACAAACAAATGCATGAAAACTAACTGCCGAGCACTGAGGAGGAATTGTAGCAAAGGTATGAGCAAACACATGAACACTAACTGCTGAACACTGGTATCTATGTAGCAGCCCTGGTGTTGGCCCCAGAGCCTGCAGGCCCAGAATCCTGTACACCTGAGTACTGCACAGAGGTTATGCGGACCGGATCCACTTACAAGGAACGCTGGCGGCGCCGGTCCAGGTGAAGGACTCCAGTCCCAGGAAGAAGGGGGCGCTCTTGCGCAGGACACAGGGACCCCTGTCAGTGACATCGTACAGCTGCCGATGCCCCATCCCCAGGGTCTCCATGCAGTCAAACATAGTGCCCCCCTGCCGAAAATTGAAGCTGTCGGCTCTCCTTGGTGCTCCAGACCCCGTCTCAACTCCGTCGGCCCGTGTGCCTGCTAAGCCCCTGGCACTGGTTCTGTTCTGCCCTTACCCTCTACTTCACTGCCCTCCACTGCCCTGAGCTGCCCAAGCTGCTGTCCTACCCACTTCCCTGAGCCTTGCCTCAGCCTGCCCTCCGCTGCCCTGCCCACGCTCCTGAGCCCTGCCTGAGCGCCGCTTCAGCCCTGCCCGCCGGCTGTTCCTGGTACGCTACCTTCTGCCTGCTGTAACAGACCTAAATAGCAGCTCATCACAGCGTTGTCTGCCTCGCGACACTGCGGAGCAAACCAACTGCTGGGGGGGGGGAGGGGGGGTGGAGGAGAGGGCAGGGACGGAGGGGAGACAGAGAGAGAGAGAGGGGGGAGAGAGACAGGGATGTGGAGAGTGGCCTCGGGGCGGGTTCATGTGCTCACGGGAGTAGCTTCAGTTTGCCTCCCTTTCTCTGTTTCTCCGTATCTTTCTTCTTTATCCTCCATTACAATGACAAACAAACAGCCTCCTCCCAGCCATCCATCACGCTGCACCCCCGCCCATTTCCTTGTGAGAGTCCCCTCCCCCAGCACTAATCATAACCATATTAAAGTGCACCCACAGGGTCCCAGGACAGGGCGTGTTCAGGCTGTGCGCAGAGGAGGCGCGCAGACTGGCAGGAGCGTCGCAAACACAGCAAGTATGACCGTGTGCGACCAGGACCGCATGAGGGGTTAATGCATGCTTACCACCCAGAACATTCCCCTTTATGCTTCAGTCACTGCCAGAGAAAAGTCTGCAGACATGGACCAGTGTTAGCAATGAGAGTATCTAAAACTCGGAACAATGGGGGTTGTACCTCTCTGGGTCTGTCGTTAAGAGGTCATATATAAATGTTACTTACGGAGATCATATATAAATTTTACAGGCATACACACACACACACACACACACAGACACACACACACACATATGACATGTAAAATTTCATGGATTCGATTAGCCTTGTGTGAAGCACAGCTTTCGAAGAAAAAAAAAGCCTATGAATCCCTTCACTCCCCCCCCCTCCCCATGACAGACTCTCCAGTGTCCTGAAGCTGTTCTGAAGATGTCTCCCCCCATTAGCTGGGTGAAGGTGGTACAGCCCGGCAGCGCCAGCAAAGACACCATTTCCTGTCAATCTGTGCTTCTGGCAAGACTTTCTATAAACACTCTGCCCTCTCTCATTTTCTTTTGCTTTTTGTTTTTTTTCTTTTCATGTACCCACCCTCCATTTCATTTCCCTTTATGAACTTTCCTGTAGTTCTTCTTTTTCCATATATTTTGAAGCTGTATTACCTTTCCAGGTATTCCCACTGAATCAGTGTGTAAAAATGGGCTTTACTCAAGGTAATTTGTCAATTCTTCAATAAACTTGATATATTTTATTTAATAGCATTATGTAGACATTCACAGGCATAAACAAAGAGCAGCCCTCCTGCCAGAATTTAAAGCTGCACGTCAACAGTGCTTCACAGACAGAGGGAGGCAGACCTCCTGCAGAGAGTCACAGAGAGAAGAGAGTCAAAGGTCCTGCAGAGTCACAGAGAGAGGGAGGCAGACCTCCTGCAGAGAGTCAGAAAGAGGGAGTCAGAGCTCCTGTAGAGAGTCACAGAGAGATGCAGTTCAAAGCTCCTGCAGAGAGTCACAGAGAGAGGGAGGCAGACCCCCTGCAGAGAGTCAGAGGGAGTCAGAGTCAGAGAGAGAGAGAGAGAGTCAAAGCTCCTGCAGAGAGTCAGAGAGCAGGAGTCAAAGCTCCTGCAGAGAGTCACGGAGAGATGAGAGAGTCAAAACTCCTGCAGAGAGTCACAGAGAGAGGGAGGCAGAGCTCCTGCAGAGAGTCAGAGAGCAGGAGTCAAAGCTCCTGCAGAGGATGAATGATGGGGAAAGGTGTTGATCAGTCTTTCTAAATTCAGCAAGTCTGTCAGCTTAATAACTGCTTTGTATATTATTGCATTATAATGCATATTTACCAGAAGCCTTTATACATTTCTAAAGTAGTCATTCTCTAAGTGAATATTTTGATGCACCAATAACTCCACCCCCCAAATCACATGCCAACTGCACAAAACACAGTTTCATAACTCATGGGACCATTTCAAACGCATTGCATGGTATGTAGTTTAAAAACATTTTTTTTTACATTTTTTTTCTAATGTCAGAAAGTTGTTCTTTAACCATCAGTACCCCCACCTCACCAAGCTTTATGGATTATACAGAAAATTTTCAAAATCTGTGGGTCGTAAGGCGAAACCAACTGAGATACACATATTACTAATCAGCCAATCAGCTTCACCTGAAATGTCCCCGATACACCTACACCTGTGGTTCCTCTTATACAATCTCATGAAAGATTATTAAAGGTTTGATCGAAATTTGGCTGATTCTCTTCCTTTATGTGATAATTTTATGTGGATTCATTCTTTAATCGAAACAGGACTCATATCACAGTAGGTGTCTCTTCCATGAAGCCAGGAGAGTCAGTACAGTAGGTTTCGATATTTAACACACACGCTCCCTCCCCCAGTTCTGACCCCCCCAGAATCCCTCCTTCCCCAGGCTGAACTCTCTGTGAAACCCCCACTGGATCCCTAACTTTCCCCCAAACTCCTCTTGGCCCCTCTCCTACTCGCTTACTTCCATGCTTCTCTTGGTCCCTCCTCTGGTTTTCTCGCTCTACTCGCCCGTTGATCCCGGGGCCCGAATCATGTTGTTTTTCTCCGCACACGATAATTCAGCCTCTTTTTCCTACCATCAGCAAACCCCTTCTCTTCCACTTGTCTTGTATTACACGCAAACAGCTTCTTTTCTGCTTCGTGCCGTTTCCATCCCCCTTGCCGACTTCCCCCGTTGCATTTCCTGCTGTTTTCTTTCCTCTCTGCTGTCTCCTCGTCTTCTCTCCCCCCCCCCTTTACCTCAGCCATACCTACTCCTCTCCTCTTGTCTCCCTCCCTCACTCTGTGTGCACAGAGAGGAAAGCAGGGCTGTATTCTGGGATAAACAGGCTCTCATGTTTTCTTACTTTGTGTGTAAATTGGAGTCACAGTGCAGAGGTGACAGAGCCTCAGCTCTGTGTTTTTGCTCCCATTCCTGTTGCTGGTAGTTCCCACGTTCCCCAGTTCTGTCTCCCTCCGCGTGTGGCTCCCCCCTGGCCTCGCTTGGAGGGCAACTCATGCTTTCCCAGCAGCCTCCAGCTCCCAGTCGCCGAGGCGTGACCGTCTCCCTGACTCCGTCTGCACGCTCCCAAAACAGACCACATTCCATCACCGGAACATCCATCATCCCAGGTGATCCTGGGAGGGGCTGCGACAGATCCTGACCATTAAAAAGCACCTGATCTTATCAGCAGGCTGAAATGCATGAGCCGTCAGCCTACAGCTCAGGCGTGCCGCGTGGCTTCGACGGGATTCACACCCAAGACAGAGCGGGCGCTGCAGAGACCTGGCCGGTGAGATGGAGCCCATTTGAAGTGAGGGATCGTGATCAAAGGCTAGTCACAAAAGCACTAATCTGTGCAGCGTCTCTCAGCACTATCAGCCTTGGCCATCGCCCACAGTGGCTCTTTTCGCTCACATGACTTTATGCTGAGGTTATTCAATACCGGCACACATGGTTTTCAGCAATCACTGCGTCTGATTTGCAAATCGCCATCTCCCCCACTGCTGTGCAAGTCCCGCCCCCTGCAAGGCCACACTCCTCCCCCTTCCCTGCTCTCCAGTATGGCACCCTTCACCACACAGCGGGCTCACAGTTCACTCCTACCAGCCAATGGACGTCTATACTCGTTGGCCCCCCCTACTGGATAAGGGGTGCAAGGTGGAATCTTTTTATTAATATAAACCAGTTTATACCTTAAAGGTGGGGGCTCTGGAATGGCCACATGCATGTTTCTCATTGACAAACCGCCTGCAGCTTTGCTGGGGTCCCCACAATGATGGCGTCTTAACTGACCCTTGTCCCTTGATGCTACAGATAAAGGTGACTGAAGAATGAAGGTAAAGACAGGAAGCAGAGCACAGGGCCGAGGGATGACAGACGGGAAGATACACAGGCAAGCAGATGCGAGGAGCGAATTCCCTGCGTTTCTCTGCATGTTGTTTTTCTCTGGTGTGAGTAAACGAGAATGGCCCGTGCCGGCAGTTAGTTGGTGACACATAGAGAAAGAGCCGTTTTCGCCACCATGATCAGCTCCGTACCAGTTGCCTGCTCACAATGGCACTTTCACAATGACTGTATGAAAAGTGAGTGTAACTACACTTTTCTCAGGAAAGCCAGAGAATAGAAACGGTCTGATGGAAGACACTTTAGGTCCGGAAGGGGCTGGAGACTGGTGAGCCAATCTGAGAGACCTGGCCAGGAGAGAGGCGGCTAAACGCTAGAGCACACACACACACACACACACACACACAACACACACACACCCCTAACGTTAACCATAAGTAACCAAACAAAATGCAAAACTGAAGACTTGTGGGTACTGAAAAAAAATGTCCCCACAACATAAAAATAACAGGTTTTTTTTAATCACATTGTGGGGATATTTGGTCCCCACCATGTAATATATCCATGCCCCCCCCCCACACACACAGAATCATCCTTCTCACTAACACACACTCAGGCTTCTGCCAGTTATGGAGACCCGGGCTTCCACCCAAACTGTGCACTGCAGTTTCATATAAATAAATAATTACGCACAATGAGCTGTTTGTGCTCTTCACCATCAACATTACAGTAACCTTTATTTCACTCCTGCCTTTTTCCATGTGGCATTCATTCCAGAATGTTCCTTTTTCCATTCCATCTTAAACCACTTACCACCAGAATGTCTCTAATTTGAACCCCCAGGACTCCTGAAGTCTGTCTAACCACTATGTGCTTGCATGTGTCTATCAGCTTAGGGCACGGGTGTTTTTAATTATGGCAGCATGCGTGAATATATTTGTGCTGGCATATATATCAGCATTTTGGCTTTGTGTATGTGTGTGTATCCAACATAAGGAAGGTGGATTTGTAGTACACTTTCCAGGGGGCAGTAGAGGGCAGATTCAGGGAAGTTACAGTATGTTCACTTAAAGCGCTGTGTAATTGCTGTTTTCATCTCAGATCATTGGTGAAAATGACCACATTTCTGTTCCAGAGATGTAAAGTAACAAAGTACAAATAGTTCAATACTGTACTTAAGTAGTTGTTTTTTTTTCCGGATTTGTACTTTACTTGAGTATTTCAAGTTGTTCCAAACTTTTCATTTGCAATATTTCTGAACCAAATAGTGATTTTTTTTACTCTGATACATTCAGCACAAAACCATTGTTACTCACCCAAAAAAAAAAAAGATACTCTTTGAGAAAAGCATGCAGTGCACCTGAGTGGAACAGCAAGTACGATTAAAAACGGCACTGTGCTTCCTACTTATGCTAACCCTACACTACAGGACTGAAAAGACTCTGAAAAGACTTTTAAAGACTAAAGTCTGACACCCTCCCACATCTAAAGTCAATTTCTGATTAGCCATAGAGTTTTTTTGTCATAGACTATGATTTTACAGAGATTGGGGATGTGGCAGTGTCACTATTGGCAAGACTTCAACAATCGCAGAGTCCTGTTGCTGTACCTCTATGCTACAATGAATGTTTCTCTGCTATACATTTGTACAGCAAAGTGTATGAATATTTAGTACAGTGCAAAATGTTTATTCAGTTTTCTTTGCATAGAAAAATAACACATTAGACACCGTAGTGCAATACATAAGAGGAACTTAGAAGTGCAGTGCTGCATTCAAAATACTGTACCTGTCTACTGTAAATACTGTACCTGTCTACTGTAAATACTGTACTCAGTATTGTACTCACCTATTGGTTGTTCACAATGTCCACGTCACTATGTGCATGAACCAAGACTGAAGACCTACGATACTATTAAACACGATGGATTTTATTGAAATGCCAAGATGAGCAAAAAACTGACAGCTATCCTAAGCAGCTCATAGCAAACGATGAAGGAGATGGGAGCTCGCTCACTTCTAGCAAAACTCCCATGATTTTATCCCGATATTGGAAATTTGTCTGAGACAGTGAAATCGTTTAAAAAGTCATTTGGTGTAAGGCCAGCAGTATCAGGTTCCACTGAGCGCTGTGCTAGACATGACAAGACACATTTATGCCAGATCTAGTGGTACTAGTTAGGGCTGGATAATGAAAAAACTTGCAATATTTTAATTTAAAAAATGTTGGGATAAACAATAATAGATCATCCATCATCGACCCCTCCACCCCCCAAGGACACACACACACATACACACAGACACACGCACACACACACACGTATACACACACACACACAAAGGGGGCACCTAGTGGGGACCTTACTTTTTTTTTAGGCTACAGAAAACCGTGAAAGCATGAAAAAACTGATATACAGATAATCTGCTAAACAGCAGATGTTAATACTTGCCGCTGATCATTTTTTTAATCTCTGTGAAAAATGGATCTATTGGTGGGATGATTTAGTTATGATTCTTACAATGAAGGCCTAAAAAAGGTCTAAAACAAACTTTATACACTGTGCATCACCATAATGACCCACATTTATATACACTGATACCTTTGTGTACCATATGAGGAGGCAAGAAACAATAATAGCAAAGTGGTATTTTTTTTACAGCATCGGAAATGTAGGCTCTAAGTCTTAACTTAAAGCCAAATCATAAATCTTTCGGCTATCTTGCTTTGCATGTAGCCTAAGCCGCCTTCCTCGACAAAGGCGATAATCACCGGTTTGTCACTGTCAGATATGAATACCGGGTCGCTAGTCTGATATTGTTGATTACCTGTAACATCATCATATCGCACAGGCGTAGTGCGTTCCTGACATCGCAAATGACTCTGCAGGGTAACCTCCAGCTTTGACCAAACTGTCTACAAACATCCTACTTTGTGAATAAAAAGAAAATCGTGTCTCAGTTTTCCTTATTGTGATGCACTGTATCTTACACTTCACACCTGCCCTGAGTGAATTTAAGTGATTTTTTTTGTAAGATCAATAGATTTCAATATGTAGTACTTCTTACTATTGATACTTAAGTATTTCAAAATCAGATTTTTGTTACCGTTTTCCTGAGTAGTATTTTACTGAGTGATTATTTTTGCTTGAGTAACATTTTGGTGTGGTATCTTTAGTTTTACTCATGTATGAAAATTGAGTCCTTTTTCCACTACTGCTCTGTTCAGCGGATATCAGGGTTCCCCGATGACGGCTGAGTGCCCTAACCCTAAACCTAACCCTAAGCCTAACCCTAGTTCAGGTAGATACGACATCGGCTGCTTTTCTATCCATAACATCTTGCCTTCCCTGTTATTTGTCAGGGGTCTAGGGGTAGGCCTCTTTGTCAAAACCAGTTCTTCGGCCATGACAAATAAGGCAGCACATTATGAATCAAAGAGCTGTGCATTACAGTAAGTAAAAAAGAAGTACGAGCCTAACAAACCAATATGAAACTGAAGCATGATTTCCAACTAAAGGACTTCAAAAGCAACTTGACTGCATCCAAAGGTCCCAACACCACACCCATTACAACAAAAAGTGGAAAAAAATTGCACTAATTGGCTCCACCCCCCGGCCAGCCCACACAGATGGGCAGCCTGTCCGTCACAGTACAACTTTCTTCCTATGGACTATGATGTTTGTATAGATCAACCTGAGCTTTACTCTGATGTCTGCTTGTAAACAGTCCCTTGCTCACAAAATCAGCAGGTTGCTATTGGATGCTTTTAGTTGTCCTAGAAAGAGTCTGTCCAATCAGACAAAAGATGCTTGTTCCAGTGGGCGTTACTCCAAATGATGCAGCCGCAGTGGGGTCGAGAGGCACCCCCTTTCCTTACGGAGCTGTTTCAGCTCAGATATGCTTGTCAGAATACAGTGATGAAAGCTGTTTGCTCTGTAATTAATCTGCTGCGCACATTTTCCCTTCCAGCTCTGCTTTTACTCCTCAATGAGGTGCTTGGCTTGCAGAGACAGAAGAATAACAAGACCGAGGAATTTGGTCAATTCCCAAGTATAGCTTAGCTTGTTCCTGGAAGAGGTCTTTGAAATTCTAATAGGAGATGGAGGTGATTATTATGAAAATATGCATGCGTGATTATGTGTGCCTGTGTGTGTGTGTGTGTCTATACTCGTATAATCATACAATATTTGTTATTAATAGATATTAATAGATAGCGGTTAAGGTATGTTAGGATTTAAAGGTATACTTACATGCTTTTTATGAATGTCCTATGAATACATAAGAACATAAGAACTATACAAACGAGAGGAGGCCATTCGGCCCATCAAGCTCGCTTGGGGAGAACTTAACTAATAGCTCAGAGTTGTTAAAATCTTATCTAGCTCTGATTTAAAGGAACCCAAGGAT